TCCTCTGTTATATATAACAGCTGGAGAAGTAAAAATTATAGAATACATATTTATATATTACTTAAAGGAGTCTTATAGCTTTGGAATAAAAAGTTTCTACATTTTATCTTTATTAGAACTCTATTTATTGAATCTTTTATTCTGAGGTCCCGTGATGACATCAGAATTTTCGGGTCTCTTTCGGTAACAAGTCCGCCCCTAGTCGGAGTCGGAGTTGGAGTCGGTAGATTTTTATGCGACTCCACAGCCCTGTTTATAATACAATAGAACGGTTTTGGATAACTGATCACATTTAGTAGGAAAAGAATAAAAAGATTTATACTTCACTTAAGATATTTAGTTTTAATTCTAATATACAGTAAGACCCTGCTTAATGCTGCCTTGCTTAATGCTGATTCGTTATAAAGCTGTCTGCTCGAAGCTTAAAAAAAGTTCAAAATTTACATTGATTTAGATTATTGCAGCATTTTATTGATTCATACATAATACGATTATTTACTAATGAACCAATCAGAAAAAGGTGTACTTTTTTTAAATCTATGTTTGGTGCAATTTTGGAAAAAAATATAACATCATGGATGCCATAGGCAATATTGGCTTTGCTTGGCAAGAATTAACTGATAAATGCACAAACGAAGTGTGGAAGAAGTTATGACTGAAGGTATCCAAGAATTCTTAACGAGAAGAGCCTATCACTGTATCAAACTCAACCTAATCGATAAAGCAGGACTAGATGTAGATGAACAGGATATTGAGGAGTTACCGCAAGTTTCTGGTGAGAGTCTTATCAATGACGACCTTCAAGAACTGGCAAAACAAGGAATCCATGTAGAACTGGAAAATAGTGATTCTGAAACGAAGAACCCAAAAAATTTCTCTACAGATTTCCTTACTAAAAGTTTGGTAAGATAACTGAAATCATTGATCAAATTGTAGTGAATGATCTAGATTTTGAAAGGAATGCAAAAGCAAAATGAGGCATTTTGGATGCAGTTTTCTGCTACCAACATTTACTTAAGAAAAGAAAAGGCGACAAATGAGACATCATGACTTTATTGCAAAAGAACAAGAATTTCAGAAAAGTTGGGACCTTTGTCACAAAAACTGAACTAATTAATACACACAGAAATGTATGATAATATATGTTTGTGTTATTTAACATATATATTAATGTATGTTAATTAAATTATTTAAATTAATATAAAAATAACTTAAAATTAAAGTAAAATTTGTTTATTTTCAGTCACGTGTTCCCTATCCCTATTTACTCTGTTAAAATGACCTCATTTTATGCTGCTTCACTTAGCACTTTGTCATCTAGGAACACATCCTCGCACTAAGTGGGTCTTACTGTACTAGCAAAAAAAGATTAAGGCATGGAAATTTAATACACATGAATGATAAGAAATAATGAAAAAGTTGTCTAATTTATTAAACAAGTAGTTATCTATTTCATTGCTATCTAAACAAACTGATAAAATTTTAAATTCAAAGTAAAAATACATAATAGTAAAATTAATATTCAGTTTATGAATTCTTTCAAAAAAACTTTATAAACTGAGAAAATTTGAGAAGATTCAAACTGAAATGTTCAACACTAATGTAATTCAAGACAATCATGGAATTAATGTTCCAAAATAGAACAAATTGTATGTAATAAGGAACCATGACTTGAAGTTTGACTATGAATCAGCCCTAAAACATTTGTCTTCTCTAGACACTAAAGCATTTGTGCAGCTTTGCAAATGTAATTTCAGAATAGGAAAATGAAGGAGATCATAAGTCATACTTTTTGAAGCTAAAAAGAAAGCTATTAAATTGTTTGTCAAAAACCTGGTTCTCATAGAAAACACTACTGCAGAGCAGCAAGATTGATGAAACATCATCTGCTGAGCTATCTGAAGCAAAGGTTTACAGAGTTTACAATAGAATTCCAAAAAAAGATATTTGGGTGTCTTACTTATTATTTCTATATCTTTACAACAGACTACAATATGAATTTCGAAAACCATGCTGTAGATAAGTGTTCAAAGAGCATCCAGTTTGATTTGAAGTTTCAAACAATCATGTGAAACTGAGTAAAAAGTGTGAGTATGCCCTATTTAATGGACTCGAAACGCAAGTTAAAGACCTCTGTATTCGACAAATCGTTGCAAGATATGCTCCTATTTTTAAGAGAATAGATCAACAGGGAACCTGGATTTATTCCACCCCTGAACGTCTCACCTTAACTATCAGATGTTCCACTAGACCTCAGAAATCACCTTATATATCTACAACTCACAAATTGAATAATACTGGGATGATTAATCTCCCAAACCTTTGTCTGGAAGTTTGTGGTTTCTTCTGTTGGATTCCTTTGACGATGTGTTCTATTGAAGATATAAAAACTTTCAGGTAGATACCGGAGAATGTTTTAATGATTGGAAGATTCTTAGGTAGGTGGATGATATTTTTGTTGTGGCGAGTGGGCTAGAACTTCCTATGCGATGGGTTGACTGGCACTTCAAAGTGTTAGAATGGTTGAGGAGTCACATGCGTTGGAAGTCTTTGGCTTAAGAGGTGAAAGTAGCACTATTCTTTGATTAAAACATTAATAAAAGTTAATAATAATGTTAAAATAGTCAATGAGTTCATTATAGAGGTATATGGAGGTTACATATATGGTTATATTTACTCTCTATTGGACGTAAAATTCTAAATTTAGGATATATATATAAAACTTTAAGAAAAAAATTTTCTAAATATATGAAAGAGGGTCCGTTTGTTATGGAAATGTAATTTCGGAACGCTGCACACCGGGAAAAAATATAGGCAAATATAATGGTTGTTGTCAAGTGTCGAGCATTTGTTTTTAACGAGGTCGTCACCTTACCAACGGCACTCCTCCCTCCTACACTTGACCAGACCCGAAAAAAATTAGTCCCGTTCCCTCGGGATAAACTAAAAATTTTTAAGTCATCTCTGACAAGTGAGCAAGTCCCTCCAACTTGAAAGCCAATCCATGGAGGTACGACGTAGTCATACCCCCTCGGTTCTCACAAAAGTAAACTTTTTTTTTTTTTCATTGAAAAGCTACAGTGAAGGTAAAATTATTTTTCTGTTGATTGTCATAACTAGGTGCTTCCATAAATTCCAGACAGACCACATATTACAGTAGACAGTTTTACATGTCCCTTTACAAGCTAAATTTGAATATCAACGGACAAGCAACCAAAAAAACCAGTTTTCATCTACTACTGGATGGAAGTAGATGCAGCAAAATTGTCCTTTTAAATTTTATCAGCTGTATTCCACTATCAAGAGAACACCTTGCTTGAGTTGTTTCTACAGTTTAACTCTCTGCAGATGAATATGGAGGTCAGAACAAGAATAGTGACAATTTGCATGTTATAGTGACTAAATGATTTTGCCCCATCAAATGAGCAAGAAATCCATTTGATTTTTCCAATTCCAAGAAAGTTTTTTCCTCCTGATCATATTTTCTGGCAGGATTGAAATCAAACTTGAGAGTCATGATGCTGTTGTGATTCCTGAGGGATATGTGGAAGTGTTCAGAAATCATAGAACAGCTGTAAGGGTGTGTGAAGAGTCCGCAATGTTTCACTGGAAGGAAGTATTATGTGAACAGATAAAAAAATCAAATCGATGGCATTTTAAGTTTTTGTCTGCAAAAACAGTATCATCATTTATGGAAAAGTATTGACTGTACTAGTTCTCATTGGAGACAACTCTAATACAACAGTAGTGCTGGTTAGTGTGGCAAGTAAAATTTTCAAATGTAAAGTGATCAGTACTAATTTCAACCTGGTCCACATCAGGCAAGGTGTTCCCATTAAAAAGCGGGAAATAGAAGACATTTCAAGGCTGCTAACACTGAATTTTTGTGTAAAAATGGATGGACATTCCAAAGGTTTTACAGTGACATTGTTCACAGAAAAGCAACAAAGATCCATCAGGTGAACTTGAATATGGATGGAATAACATGGCGGAAAATATGGATGATTCATAAGCACTTATTAATCACTTCTATGTTTACTATTTTTACTTGTGTTCTACTTTTATATGTCCTTTAAAAATCATTTTACTCTCTCACTATTAAAACACAAACAAAATAAAAATAATGCTTTTATTATTATTTCGAAACAAATTGTGTCCGGTTCAGAAGATTTGCTTTCAAAATGTTCATCTTTAGTTGCAAGTTTCCTTTTGTCTAAACTAATTTTCTTTTTTATAGTTATTCTGTAATGTTCTATAAGACAATGTAAATGATTATGAAAATTAACTCTTACTGGTCTCTAGAATTAGAAATATTTCAGCAGTCAATAGTTATGACACAATAAAATTTTTTTTAAGTTTCAAAGTGGATATGACATTTTTTTTTGAAATTAGGTCTTCAAATATTAGTTAAATGATGCCAAAAATAGATATATACAAAAACAGTCTCTTCTTACAGAATATTGTCTTGTCTATTAAATATTACTGGCAGACAAATAACAATATTTTCAGGTTTTCAACTTTATTTGCTTATGTTTTAATGGGCATGTTTTTTTAATACAGTAGAGCATTAGTTATCCGAATGTCGATAAACCGAAACATCAATTAACCAAAAATCTTTCCAGTCAGCAAATTTGAATTTCCACTAGTGCTGTGGTGCTGCAATCTTTGGCTATGTCTTGGACTACTCCAATATTATTTTTTTTTTTGTGCACGTGTTTTAGCTGGCAGCACTGGTGTGACTGTGAGAGGGTACTTAAGGATGTGCCGGGATTTGAACGAATTTCAACATGGGATGGGTTAATATATTTTTTCGTGCATAATCGGTTATCTGAAAAATTAATTTTCTGAACAACCCCAATCCCCAATTGATTTGGATAATTGATGCTCTACTGTATTACTAATAACATTTTGTTTATATTTCTAACTGCTTTCAGTATTTTTTTGTTTGAAAGAAATATAAAATATGTGAAATAATCTGTAATGAAAAAATTTTTTTTTAGACTTGTGAACTTTGTCCCAATCCATCTGGAATTTTCAAAGAAACAGATGTTGGCAAGTAAGTGTTATTACAATAATATTATATTAAACAATTAGGGGGGCGCTTCTGTCTGCCGAAGCTGCTGGCGCGTTTTTTTTACTCACCTCAAATACAGGTATAGAACGTATCCTGTCAAATAATTTTAGTTAAATTTTTTTTGTTTGTGCTGTATGCTAACATTATTAGTGTTGGAAAATCTATCAACATAATTAATATGCAACGCACGCCAACTAAAAGAGGAAGACCACCACGTCAAAGGTCAAAATCGGCTAGTGGAAAGGAAACTGCTTCGACCACTAATTCCATGTTAATTACTGATTACAATTCATACGTTGAAAGAACTTCTCCTGAACCAACCTCTGCAAATGCAGGTTTGAACCCTGAAACTTCACTTCTAAGTTCACAACTATCAGGTGAGCCATTTGATCTTTTATCTTCTTCACCAGGAAAAAATTCATCTGATATATCAAGTATAACACTATGGAATAAAATTTCTGATTTAATTAATGTTTCTAACACGAGAATATTAAATCAAATGACTATTATCAAAGAAGATCTGGACCAGNCGATTGAAGTAGTAAATCAAATAAAATATTTGGGAATATACTTTAACTGGAATGGCCAATTTCAATACCATCTAAATCATCTTACTAGTAAAATAAATCAACTTATAAATAATGTTATTTATTTATCATCTAAGCTAAGGATTTCCAATCTAAAAATTCATTTGAAAATGTTTCATTCATTTATTGCCCCAGTATTTTTTTATGCCAGTCCTGTTTGGGCATTAGACTATTACAAATATTTGGAAAAATTCCATATCATTTTTCTGCGTAAAGTACTTCATATTGAACGCACGGTTCCAGGTTATGCAATCAGATCAGAGANTGTTTCATTCATTTATTGCTCCAGTATTTTTTTATGCCAGTCCTGTTTGGGCATTAGACTATTATAAATATTTGGAAAAATTCCATATCATTTTTCTGCATAAAGTACTTCATATTAAACGCACGGTTCCAGGTTATGCAATTAGATCAGAGACTAATAGATTCCAACTTTTTCCATTTTTTTTGAAATGTTTATTCAAATTTTATCTTCGCATATTAAATACTGATGATGATAATATTAAATTTCTATTTCAATTAATAAGCAACCAAAATGGAAGCCTATCAACTAAAAATGTTTCGTGGTATCAAAAATTCGTTAAAATAATACAATCTTATGGAATTTCTACTTTATTACTCAATTCAACCGAAGACAACTGTAAACACGCATACTCCTTAATGATGAATTCTGCTTTATCTCAATCTGTTATCAAGGATCAAGATTCCATTTTAAATTCGACATATCACTATTGGTATCAAAATATGTTACATTTTCCATCAAGTTCGAATATTATTACAACAAATACTAATTTAAATATTAAGCGCACGCTGATTCAGATACGTCTTAATTACAATTCGTTACTGATTGGCAATGTATATATTGATTTTTCCAAGAAATGCTACTGGTGCAAGTCTGAATCTTTTAATATTTACCATATTCTTATTGAGTGTCCAAAGATTGAAGAAGCGCAATGTAAATTTAAATTAAAAGAAATTTTTGATTTAAGTCAAGAAGAAAATTTCAGAACTAATCTAGAAAAAATTCCGTTATGTAAAATGTATAATATTCATAACTTTTTTGTTCATATTTTAAAAATTTTGAAATATGATGTTGTAAATTGAATGATTAATATGTTATGTTTATCAAAAATTATGTAACCAAATATTTAAAAAATGTTTAAATAAGTATTAATTATCTTTTTGTAAATCTCTAATGCTAACCCCCTGTAACAAGATTTTTTCTTACTACAATAAAGCATTTGTATATATATATTAAACAATTAACTAGTTTCTGAAGATTCAGTATTTTTGGATTCACCCAATCTAAATCTTAAAATTTATAGATTTATTATATGGATTTCTTAGTAGGCTTTCATTTCTGCAACTTTAAATTAAAAAATTTAAATATAATACCAAACTTATATACTCACACTGTTTTTATTTAGTAAAAAGAAAATTTACACATGCTACAAACACATGTAGGAAAGATATTTCTAGTATTACACAATGTGTATAGCTTATGGTGCATTAGTTAGTTTACTGCAATATGGGCAGTAAAATTAATTCATTCATTCAAATTTATTCAATAACATACTTTTTTTTTACAAAAAGGAAGTATGTTATTGAATACTATGACCACTTTCTATTGAGACCTTGTGGATAATTATTGCATGTAGAAAGATGATGCATGTTATTTAATAAAACATCTTTCTAAATGCAATAATTATCCACAAGGTCTCAATTGTAAGTGATCATTGTATAAATTTGAGATTGCTCCATAATCTCAACCACACTATTTTAATGTTTATATTGGATTGAACCAAACGTTTGTTCGGGTATTTACGTAATCACTCGTCTGTGTCGCCTCTGTTGTGCTTATCAAGTTTTAACTTGTTTAGGTTGACATTATGAATATCTACATATTTACTACGTAAGTTTAATTACAGCTATTTTTTAAAATGTTGTTATCTTTCAAGGAAAACAAACATTAAAATGGAAGATAAGAAAGTGCATTTTCGACATTTGATGCTCTATTATTTCCAAAAAGGAAAAAATGCAACAAAAACTCAAAAAAAGATGTGTGCTGTATATGGGGAGGATGCAGTTACTGATCGAACATGCCAGAAATGGTTTTCAAAATACAGGGAGGGAGATTTTTCTCTCGAAGATGCACCTCGGTCAGGACAACCTTCAACCATAGAAGATGAGTCTGTAATGTAATTGTTTCAAAATGATCGGCATAAAACAACACGAGAGATAGCTGACATCTTAAAAATATCCCAAACATCTGTTGTCAGACATTTGGCTAGCCTTGGATACACTTCCCGTTATGATGTTTGGGTTCCCCATAAGTTAAGTGAACGAAACCTTATTGAGCTTGTTTCTGTATGTGATTCACTTTTAAAACGCAATGAAGATGATCCCTTTTTAAAGCGATTAATAACAGGTGATGAAAAATGGATCATTTACAACAATATTCAACGCAAGAGATCTTGGAGTAAGCCAGATGATCCTCCAGTGCCATAACCTAAAGCTGGTTTGCATCCCAGAAAAGTAATGATTTCAGTTTGGTGGGACTGGAAAGGGGTTCTTTATTACGAGCTTTTACCCAATAACCAAACAATTAATTCTAATAAATATTGTATCCAACTGGATGAACTAAAGGCTGCAGTGCATCAAAAACATCCAGAACTTGCAAATCAACGGGGAGTGGTATTACATCATGATAATGCAAGATCGCACATATCGTTAAACGTGCACCAAAAACTTCTAGACTTTAACTGGGATGTTTTGAGTCACCCTGCATATTCTCCAGATATTGCTCCCTTAGACTATCATCTTTTTCGTTCATTGCAGAATAATTTAAATGGCATAGAATTTCAATCTCCTAGAAGGTATCAAAAATCACATTGATAATTTCTTCAATCAGAAGCCCACTCGATTCTACACAGATGGAATTATGAAACTACCCGTCAGGTGGCATAAGGTTATTGAACAGAAGGGTGAATACATTGTGGATTAAATGTTTTTATTTATTTCAAAATAGTATATTTTATTTCTTTCTAAAAACCAAATGAACTTTTGGTTCAACCCAATATTAATTTATTAAAAATGTGATCTTCACAAATTATATGGTAACATATAATGTCAACAATGTCTTTATAAAAGAACCAACATTATGTATTCTGCTAATTGGTCTGCTTTATACACAGGTCATTATACATTAACAAACTTATATAGGTCTTACAGTTCCTATTGTACACAAACACTATTGTGAAATGATCATCTCATTTTCCCATAAAATATAAAATTCATAAGAAACAAGCACAGATTCCACAGATGCTCTAGCTGGACTTAGACATTTTGTCTAAGTCCAGCTATATAGTTATAATATAGCTGGACTTATAATATAGAATATAGCTTTCCTTAGCTATAATATAATACTTTTTTTATTCATATATGCTTTGTTGGTTTTTATCCTTTGCAATTAGTTCTTTGTATGTTTTGCTAAATTTTCTTAAAATGATTCTCTTTCACTATCTTTTTGTTTGGGAGAGACAGAGAAAATTTAAGTATTTTCACAGAATTGTTGTGCAATTTAAGTCTTTTTTTTTTCTTTTTTTTAAAATTAATTTCTTTTACTATAAGTGCTGCAGGGAAACTAATTCCCCAGAAATTATGCATTTGATCTTTGTTTACTTCATCATTTATACAGATACACTTGTACAGTAGAGCATTGATTATCCAAATATTGATCAACCGAAACATCAGTTAACTGAAAACGTTCCAGTTGGCAAATCCAAATTTTTGCTAGTGCTATGCTGCTGCTACACTCTCCCCCTTCCTGCCAATATAAACTGTAGGCCTACATTAATATACTACTTTATGTAAGATATGTGATACAAAATATATATTTTGTATCACACGTTTTACAAACACACATTTTTTCATAACTGATCAGTTATCTGAACAATCCTAGCCTGACCAGCTTGAATTGTTTTGGATAATCAATATTTTACAAATTAATCATTCATTAATGAAATACAAAGGAATCTCCCAAAATTTGGAAGTATTGGTTTTACTAGTTCATATATTTTAATTGTAAATAAAACATTTTTAATGAAATTATTTATTTTTACTATAGATGGGTTCATCTAGTATGTGCACTTTACATTCCTGGAGTTGCATTTGGTGATGTTGACAAATTAACTCCAGTAACATTGTTTGAAATGCCATATTCACGATGGGGTGCAAAGGTATAGCTATATAACTGAATTTCACAAACCTTGATTTTATTTTGATATAAATGATAATTGATATAAATATATTTAGCCATGTGCACTTTGTGAAGATGAACGATTTGCCAGAACGGGAGTCTGCATCAGTTGTGATGCCGGAATGTGTCGAAACTATTTTCATGTAACTTGGTAAGATTTCTTAACTAAAAATATAGCTTAACTCTTTCCAACCTTAATACAAAATTTTATTATTTAAGGATAGCAGTATATTTTTAAACCATCCTTATTGTGCCCCAACTGATTTGAAATGTTTTTAAATGTTAATTAATTAATTAATTACTTTTCCAGCTCTGTTATACAACAAAGGAAAATTATAGTAATCAATCAAAAAAAGATCCTAGATTTTTACATTTTTGGACTCTGGATCTTGAAACATTGAGAAATGAAAAACATTTGGATAATTTTTTTTTCTTTTATGTTGGAGGGCATGATTTTTTTCACTCACTTTGAATCTTAATAATGCCATGCTTTTTGTCAAAAATTACTGAAATTTTGCAGGCAGGTTTGTGTATTAGGGGAATTGATGCTATTAAAATTTTAGTGGTTAAAAGTCAATGAAGTGAGGAGATAGAGGGGGTCATGTCACATCTCAAGTAGGGTCAGATTTAATGATTTTACTCATTATTAGCATTTACAATTTTTTATGAAACTCATCTCTACCCTTAAAATTAAGCTTTTTGTAATTTTGTAGTAATTAAAAATATAACGTTTCTTTAATAAAATATCATAACAGATGATGCCACATACAGTTTCAAATATTGCCGGAAAAGTTAAGCAGCTTGTTGGATTTTTTACCTTTAATATCATCATCTTACTTTTGAAGTTTAATCTAGTAACACATGTTCTTGAATTGAATAAATGAGTGGGAGTACAATCAAGTTCAAATTTATGTGAGAATTTTATATTGATTTTAAATAGAAATCAGACAGGGATTAACATCCAGTTTGAATTAAGAGGAAATCAAATTATCCAAGTGTGAATTAACAAGAGTCTACTGTAAAATATAAAGTATCATTTAAAAAAGAAATTTTTTCTTTGTAACTGCTGCTTATAATTGGCAGTGATAAATTGTAAAACAATTTGTAATATGGTATTTTGATATATTTATAGTATTAGATACTAAAATAATAAGAACTGAGGGATATGAAACCCAAAATGCATTTTCTTGTAACTAATATCAATAAAAGTCTAAATTCATCCATATTGTCTTCAGTATTCCTATATGATAAGTCTATAAAAAAATCAACAATATATGCTTGAAACAAATTTCTTCTTTCTTAATGTAAAATAATAACAAATAAAAAACAATCTCAATACAGTTTTAATAATAATAATTTCAATATTGGTTTTAATTAAATTTGGACTTGAGAGTTGTTACACTAACTACATTCTGCTTTAATGGACTATTATTACAAAAAATATATTACCTAGATTCTAATACTTTAAAGCACTTCTAGATAAACTTTAGGAATCTGCATTCACAATAGAATCTCCTGTTTCAATGCAAGTTCATACTATACTTTGAATGTTCAAATAGTGCTGTTAGAATCTTTTGGAAAACTATTCTGTCATTTATTTGAACTTTTATCGTGAACTGATGATGAAGCAAAATGTCTTGAAAAACATTTAATTGTAATTAAAATACAAAAGGTCTCCTTAATTGTATAGTATTAGTATATATTATGAATAGAATCTTATAATTAAATTTTCAAACATTAACTGCTCAAACTGTTAAAACAAATTTTCAAAGCATTAAAAATACAGTGGTTGATCGGTTAATAACATAATCTGTTCCAAGACTTTGTTCGTTATCGGAATTAACCAATTATCAATGTACCATAGGTTTTTATGGGAATTTGATTAATTTGTTCCAGAGATGCCAAAAAATAAAAAATATATTTTTTTTACTACGTTTATTTATATGTAATAGTAAAAATACATATCAATATATATGCAGTCTTGCATTTTTATTAGTCATGTTTTTTCCATTTATGTGATTAAAAAATATGTCCAATGTTGATTGCTTTTCTCTTTTCTTCTGGATTTTTTGGAAGTAATTAATAGTATTATAACTGTAGAGATCCCCAACCCCATTAACCTTATTCTGGTTTGGATGCCACTTGAATGATTGTTGTTCTGACATCCTCCCACTTCTTCAAATGATCTTTAGTAGCAGATGTTGACATTGGTCCTCTTTTGTCTTTCTCTTTTTCAAAAGAAAACACATCTCTCTGAATTTCTTGGTATTCTTCATTTGAGAGTTCTTAAGTTCTTCTGTTGTCAGATCAGTTTAGGTTCCACTATGAGCTCTAAAATGCTCTTTATTTCTCAGATGTGATTTTCATTACTCTATTGACAGCCTGAGACTTCTTGATATATCTTTCATAGCTAAGATTGTGCCTACTATAGACNTAATAATTTGAATATTGGTTTTCAAATATAAAACATTTAAAAAGAATAATTTTATTATCATTCAAATATTTCTTAATTTGTGAATATGTCAAGTAAAGAAGAATTTTTTTTCCTGTTTTTGTCTGCTTAAAAATTTGCAATAATTTTGCACATAACACTCTTCTATTGAAATATAAATTAAATGCAATTTAAAGAGAACATAAGAAAAATTTAGGAAAAGATTGGTTATTCTGCATGTCTTATGTTTAGAATTACAAAAGGGATTGGAAAGAGTTAATTATTTACTACCTTTGAATATTATCAAGAAAGTTAACCTAAAATTTAATTAGTGCCCAGAGAGAAGGACTTCTGTCAGAGGCTTCTACTGAAGAGGTGAGATTATTTTTTTTTTTTTTTGTGTGTAATAAATAATAATTAACATTAATAAACAGTATTCAATATTATAATTGTAATGTATCTTCAATATACTTATTGGAAAATGGAAGATGTGTAGATGGATCTTGGGAGGAGTGATGAGATGATTGGCTTCCCTAAGATTTATTACTAGACAGAAGGCCAAAAAATGGTGCTAAAAAGTAAAGTGTGCTCTTCAGTTTACTGAGTGTTCTAATGTTGCTATTTTTTCTTCACCATATGATATAGAAGTTGAAATTGGAGAATGACACACCACATCTTGAAAATGTCTTTCAAATTGGAGTCCTTCAGCATGGAGCAATGACTATATTTTATAGTGCAGAAATATTATGCTTTAAAACTCCACAGCAAGACATGATCAGATGGTCCACCCTTATTGGTTCATACAAGATGCTGCATGTCCACATAGAGTTGCTGAGGTGTTTTCTTGGCCATGTCTTACTTTGGACGTAGAAGTTCATTTAGACAAGGCATTTAATGGTCAATATAGTCATAACCTAAACTAATGGAACTTTTGGGGTTATTTGAAGGACTAAGTTTTTCATAATAGCTCCAAAACCATCACGAACTTAAAGAAAAGCCATTGCAAACAAAATTTAGATCATTGACAAAAACATATTGGCAAATACCAGTTCTGCCTCTACACTGTAGTTTGTAGGAACAGTGACCATTTCAAAAATTTAACTCTATTCATTTCACTTATTGCTTCAAGTTCTTTGGAAAATTTCAGTAAATTTGGTCCAATAATAACAAAGTTGTCATTAAAAAAATTTCCAAAAACAGACAATACACTAAGATATCATTTGTTTTATCTTCTCTTCATTCTTCAAAAAATAATGTGATGGAATTGACCTTTATTTGTAGGCTTCTTGTTTAACCAAATATGTAAAAGCATTAAAAAACTTTCCTTAAGTGATAGCTCTATTAAAATATTAGAATGTTATTTCCTGAAGAGTGAAGAGAAAACAAACAATACATTAAATTGTCTCTGTTTTATCTTGGAAATGTTATCAATAACAAAATTCTATACTTTACTTTTTAACACTTTTTCTTGGTCACCTTGCATAAATTTTATTTCTTTAAAATATGTTTTTTTTTACATTTTATTAATTATAAAAATATTAATGTAAAGTAAGTTTAATTTTGTTACATACTCGTTGTTTATATAAAGTTTTATTGTTTTAATGATTACATAAAATATAGTACAAACATGATAATTCAACTTACATGATACTAGAATGGTGTTGGATTAAGGAGATTGCCAGATTATTAGAAGTTCAATGGAAAAGTGAATTCAGTGGTGCATAAATTTGACAGTTTGTCAACATCAACTGTCAATGATGTGGCAAAACACAAGTTGGGCTAATGATCAAAACATCAGAGCATGCTACCGTTGTCAGTAACAAATGTTACCAAGTTGGTGATTTTTATTAAATTTAGTGGGAAGTATTGAATGACTGAATTTTATATTTATATGGTATTTTGTTATAAGATACTGCACTGTACCTTTTCTGAGTAGCCTAAGATGATGAACATAACAATATCTAATATCATGCCTAAGCTTGAGTATTTGAGATTGATATCATACCATATTTAAATTAACAGGAAGATGTTCAAATTTAGTGGGGAACACTGGAGTTTGAACTAGTGGGAAGCTAGTACAGCTTGGCAACAATGCCAGTAATACTCAGCCAACTAGTTTTGGATTGCTGGATGTGTCAAACTAGCAAACAGCTGAATTATTGAGATTATGCTAAATTATATAACATAATGGATTTTGGTTCATATTTTGTTTTGAATAATTCTAATTTAAGAAGTTTATTGATTAGAAAATTTGTAATTTAAGATGGCAGACTGTATGTGACACTCAAAGGCAAAAACTGTATCTCCAAAAAATTGAAAATCAAGTTGCACACTTGTAATTTATTACAGACCATTTGTCATGCTAGATATTGAGTGGCATGAATAAAGGATACTAATTAGGTGATGACAATTGTGCAATTTTGATTTTCAGTTTTTTTAGAGAGTGTCTGTCTTTTCTTTTGGGCACCTACATGTAATGATTAATGCATTTCTTAACAATAAATTTTTTCTATCTTTAATAATGTAAATATTTATATATTTTTAGGATATTGCTGATCCATTTTTTGCATATTGTAAACTTCATGCTGATAAGAATATAATTAGAAGCAAAAGACGCAATTGGTTAGCTCTTCAGTCACAGGCAAAAGAAAGGAAATTAGTAGATAGAAATCAGACAGAAGAAAAAGTAATTTGTTAAAATTATTTTAAATTTTTTAAAGTATGAGTATTATAATGACAATATTTACAGGCCCGTATTGAAAGAAAATTAGCTTGGCACAGAGAAAAATACCTTGCTGCCAAAGTACAAAAAGCACAACCTTGGGGTTTGTATGAATTTAACTGTACATTTATTTGAATAATAATAATTTAATAATAATAAATACATGAAATTAGTTCCAACACAGAAGATGCCAAGATTATTGACAACAAGTCCATCTGCATGTCGTAAGCTTTTGAAGAAAGCTGAATTACTAGGAATGAGTACACAAGTAAGTAAATAGTTTATTTGAATTTCAGTTTTGAAACTTCTATTAAAATAATAATGAATTTCTTTTTTTAGACCCACATTACTAGTTCTGAGAGTATGATGGATGTAAGACGTAAATGGCATGTACCACCTGCCTTTAGTGTGGAATTTGTTAGTTATTACTTAGGTAAAATAATAATTTTTGACTTAAAATACATTTATTTATAAGGAGGATGATGATTTTTGTGTTTGTATAGTAAAACCCAGTTATGATGTTTCCTGCATAAGTCATTCAAATTCTGCAGTCTTGTCATTTCTCCCATAAGAGATATGTTAAAACTTTCCATGTGAGATATTACAAAATATCAATCCTATGAAGCAATTTTTACCAACTTAAAACAATCACATTGATAACTAGCCATGTTTTTCTCATAAACTGCATGCACAATAATCCTGTAGTTTTGAACAGAAAGATAGCAGGATAGCCCCCACTTTAATATTTGCTCATTGGGTATTTGGTGAACTGAAGCAGTGTTTCCAACCCTAGTGGAATTCTCTAAATTAGCAGGTTTTCTTTAAGCATACAGTGGCATAACAGTGACACTAGCCTAAATTTTATTTTATTTTAATAAAAGACAATGCTTGTACACAGTGTTTAACTGGCAGAAGAAGGGGAGGGAAGGAGGATGAGGACATAGAAATAAGAGAAGGAAGGATCCCTCTGAGCAGTGTACATAAGGTTACCACTCCTTCTACAATTAATATTGGCATGCAGTTTTTAGGCTGCAAAGCCTTGGGTCTAAAAGAGAACCTGAATTGTAGCATACACCAATAAATGGTACAGCTACATAAAAGCTAGACAGAGTATAGTATAATGCTTAAAACTAATACTAAAATAATATAGAAACTAAGCTAGCAAGCCATGTAAGAAGCAAAATTATTTAACTGAAACAACTAGGAGAAACAGTGAATATACTAGTAACTTAAATTTAGCTAGAAGTTAATTTTCACTTAGTAAAGTTATCTGAAATTTAACTTATTTCTAACTTAAAACTAATTATACCAACTTACAGTTAACTTATTACTAAACAAGAATACTGACAAGAACAACTAGACAGACTATAGCATGAAATGAAAAAAGATGTATGAGCAAGATGCCAATTTTTTATTTTTTTATTATATATAAGATGACTAAAAATAACATGAAGAGCAATGGAAGATAAGACAAAGCAGAACCCGATAACTACAAAGAAACAAGAAACATGACACAAAAGAACTAGCTGTACAATTAAGATTAACTGGAAGTATACAATATGAACAAGGAAACCTATGTGTTGTGTGTGCCATCAGGAAGAGAGACCACAAGGGCTTGCTTTGCTGTGGGATATGAATGAAAGTAAGCAATGGTACATTGTATATGTCTGGATGAGTTGCTGAGGTATGCAAGGTCAGTTGTATCCCTCCAAAATTGCTGCTCTCATTAAACTATCCCTAATGTTTGTGTACCTATTGCAATAGGAAATTAAGTAGATAGGTGCTTGGTCCTTATGCAGTCCACATTTGTAGTGCGGGCTGTTCCCAAGGTTGAACCTATGCAGATAGTGCTTGACGTTGCCATGGCCTGTAAGAAGCCGAGTGAGGGTAAAGCTAGGAGAAAAGTGTGGAAGAGTCTCAGTAGTGTCAAACCTGAGGATAAAAGTTTAGGTGAGCCCTACCACTAATGTCATGATCTCAGCTGTCTTGCCAGAGAATGGTAATTTGTTTTTTGACATGCACAAGTAGGAGTATAATTGAAAGTGCTAATGACTGTAGACTTAACAACCAATTTGGCAAGACAATCAGTGGCCTCATTTCCTAGGAGCGCGCATGACCCAGGACCCATAAAAAATCTACTTTAATGTTATTTAAGGGCCTGAGAATGTGATGTATGAGATGGACAAGTTTAATGTGGCTATACTGTATAAAGCTACCATACTATCTAAACATAGCAGTAGTGTACAAAGTTCTTTTATTATATCTATACCTTAATGTGGATCAAGCTCATATAAATAGCTAATGTTTCTATCTGAGCAATTGAACAGTGTGGATCTAATTTGAAGCATACTCATAAGTTCTTCACTCATTTTGGAGTCATCAGTGTAAATTCTAAACATCAGGTGATCCTTTTGATTATCAAAGTAAATGTCTGAGACAGCTGATTAGAGGGATGATAGTCTTAAGAAGGAAGGACTTTTTTTTTTTATCTATGCCAAATTTTCTTATGTTGTCAAGCAGAGCTAGACTAGGGAATTTTACTGTCCTTAATAATTTTGGTGCTATAATCTTGCCAGGTTCTCCTTCCAAATGATTTTCTTAATTTTTAAATATATAGGGGTCAAATCTGACATCACCAATAAAACACTAGTGGGTGCAGTTCTATAAGCCTTGCAGATGCAGAGAGCAGTAATTCTCTGGACAGATAACAGTTTACATCTGTTGTATACTTTGGCAGCCACATGACCCCAGACCTGTACAGCATAAAGGAAGATAAGTTGAATGGACCCCTGTATATGAGTTTGGTAGTGCTGGGATCTAGGCTCCAAATGTTCCTGGAAATACTGGCAAGGACGTTAGCCATCTTTTTAGCTTTGTCTGTATGAACAGTGGGTGATCAGTTAACAAACAGTTCAGATAGCAAACAAATCAGACAATGAACACTTTTGTGAAAGATTTTTATGTTCGACAAAAACATAAAAACACAAGAAACGACGCTGTGTTTAAGATTTGCAAAACTATTTTAATGGCATCTATACATGGTTTATGGAACAAGACTTTAACAGTTGTATACAAAACTTGTTTTTGCACTAGTTAATTTCTGTTTTCTTAATTTTTTAAGTGCTTTTCTGAACTTTTTATTTAAAAAAACTGATATTATTATGGGACCTAAAATGAGTGGAGTGTCAAGTCAAGAACTGTGTTCACTATAGAAAGTATGCAAGAGATAATAGTCAAGATAGAGAGTGGGCATATGATGTCTGATATTGGTGGCAGATGATTTCAACAGGTCTACAGTAAATAAATCTTAGCTAAGAAAGATATAATCTAAAAGACTCAAGCTGATAAAGGAGTAACGAAAATCACATCTGAGAAACAAAGATATGCCATCCATGAAAAAATAAAGAGATTGCTTTTAGTTTGTTATTACATGTAAATAAACATAGTAAGAAAGTATATAATTATTTATTTTTGTGAGTCTCCAGAACAAATTAATCAAATTCCCATGAAAATCTATGGTAAATTGATAATCGGTTAATGAACAATTTGGATAGTGAACATAGTGTTGGAATAGATTGCATTCATTAACCGATCGCCCACTGTATTTGATGTGGAGTGTGAAGTTAAGCTTCTTACCAAGTATAATACCTAAATATATAATTTCCTTTGTCTGCTTTATACTGTGCGCTCCTAAATGCATGGTCAGTTTCCTAACAAGAGGATTGTTCCTACCAATAATCATACTTTTGCATTTGTCTGTGTTAATGGGTTGCCTATGCACAATGTTCCACTGGTGAATTGTTTGAGAATGTTGTTGCATATGTTCTGTAAGCAATCACTGTTCCTGTGAGAAGCTAAAATGAAAGTGTCATCTGCATAGCCTTGGATGTGGTAACCAGGAGGCAGGGTGTTATTTAGGTGCTGGATAGAGTTGTAGACAATGTTCCAGGATGAGACCTGGACACCCCTGAGTGATTGGGATGACAGTGTTACATTGAGTTGTATAAACACCTGCACGCCTGTCAGTAAAATAAGATTGAAGAAGTTTTTAAAGATTTTGAGGGCAGTGATGATCATGTAAGGTACACAAGATAGAAGGCCACCAGATGTGATTGAAAGCACCTCTAAAGTTAGTTGTGATTACAGTGGTGCATTTGTTGTTTTGCTTAGCCTTGTGGATGTAATGAGTAACATGTTTAATGGTATCAACTGTTCCTTTGTTTTCAGAGAAATAGAACTGATTCTCATGCAGAGCCCTATGCTTACGTAGATGCCAAGTGATCCTATTAACACATTAACTGCCATATGACACACCAGCAGTCGTTAGTCATATAGCGGTAGACTGCCATCCGACCGCCAGCTGTCGATTAAACAGTGTAGTTTCACTCAATGTTAAATTATCCTGGCTTCGTACAACGTTTTTCTGCATGCTAGTGGTGGCCTCTCGTGGACGTCTATGCACTTGGCTTGGAATGCCGGCACATCGTAATGGCCTCATGAAGTGTTCAAGGTCATCGGTTGTAGATTTTTTTTAATAAAATCTATTTTATATCTGATAGTGGTTTATTTTAATAGTAAATAGTTTGAAATATTGAAAACTAGTTTAATTACAGTAGAGCATCTATTATTCGAATCGATTGGGGTTGTTCGGAAGATCGATGTTTTGGATAACCGATTATGCACGAAAAAAGATATTAATTTATCCCATCTTGACATTTTTCTCCATTGTGTGTCGCTTCGCGTTGAATTTTCGTCGATGTTAAGCCTAACGAAGACTATTGTATCATTAAAAATTATTTTTTTATTTGTACAAACAAAATAAATATATTGAAAAATATAAAAACAATAAAAAATTATACTTCAGAAGTTAATTTAGTATCAAAAACGTAAAATATTTGAGTAGCCAAAGATTGCAGCGCCACAGCACTGGCAAAAATTTAAATTTGCCGACTGGAATTCTTTCGGAT